AGTGTCGGGGTCTCACATCCCAGCCTCACCACTTACTAGCTCTGTGACCATGGGCAAGCTACCAAAGCCATCTGCGCCTCAGTCTCTCCACCTGGAACATGAGGATGATGGCAATCTTCACGCGTGTGAGCCCTAACTGTGCCTGAACATGTGAAGCTTTCCGAGTGACTGCTGGTGTGGTTGCTCCAAGTGTTAGCTCATGTGTGATGGTGTCACGGTTTCCCTCACGTGCTCTCGTTGCCGGGCACACACAGCCAGCCCAGGAAAACAGAGGGAAGGAGAAAATGCCTGAGGACTAGGCGGAGGAAGGAAAGAAGGGCTTCTGGGCTGTACAAGTTGCAGGCAGAGGATCGAGCTTGGGGTCTGTGGGGCAGGAGAGTCGGAGGGGTTAAAAAGACTGTGCACCCTGCAGAAGAAACAAACAGTTCCAGAGAAGCCTCTGTGCGGGGAGAGCAGGCCTGAGCCCGGGGAGCATCAGTCAGCAGCCCCCGTAGCCTTCCCTGCCCAGGAAGCCCATCAGGAAGTGGGTTCCAGGGTTTTCCAGGTGAGCAGGTGAGGTCATAATGAGACAAGGTGTTGGCCGCCTGGCAGGGCTGCACCCACCTGGCTCCTGGGGCAGCTGGGGATTAGCTCATGGCTGGCGAATCCTGCTTCATGGGCCAGGAAGCCTAGAAGCGCATCTGAACCACAGTCATCCCAAGCCCTGGCATGTTGCTGGGGCAGGAAGGCTGTGTATCCCCAAGGCTTGTCCTCGCTGCCACCCAGTGGCCTGGCTGGTGGGCATGCCTGGGCCTCATGGATTATGGGGTCTTGGGATCTCATCTTGTCTTCCAGGACTTCCAAGTCCCAGATCTAGTGGTCCAGTGTCCTCTGCTTTGTGCTCCCTGGGCCTAAGCCCCAGGAGTCGAGAAAGACTTCTGCTGCCCACCAAACCCAAGAGGTGTCCAGAGCTGCCTCCAATCCCCACCCGATGGCCTTCCCCACTAGTACAGGATATGTCCAGCTCAGTGCCCACTAAGTGGTCAGTGGACAACAAACCCTTCTGCTAGCACCTTCCTGGGCCTATGTGGGTGACATTCCAGCTTAGCTCCTGTGCCCAGCTGGAAGGGAGGGAGGAATCCCCACTGGGCCTTTTCAGGCACCAGGGTGACAAGCAGGTGGGATCGCTGGGACACTGCCTAGTGGCTCTGAAATAGCCTGTGCTGAGAAGGAGCTCTTTGGGTGGGTATGGCCTTTCTTCTGTGCCCAGCCTTTGCACGCACACAAGGCACCACCAACTGCAGAGCACAGGCTGGGAAAGATTGGACCCGGGTCCTCCTCCTGTTAGCAGTTGTGCTGGAACCAGGACCAGGCCTGCAGCCCAGCCTCAGTCTCTGGCGTGGAGAGCAGGCTGTTACACCTGGGTCCCTCCAGCACCTGGAGCTGGGGATGGGAGGGTTAAAAATTGGAGCAGGGCGGGAGGGAGCAGTGCAGAGTGGTGTTCTCGTAGGCTGGGCTCTTTTTCTCCCTTCCAAGGCAAACCTGCTCTTCACTCTTCCAGATCTCCTGAGATCAAAACTGGGGGAGGCAGGGCCAATGGATGGCATCAGTGGGCTTCCAGGGAAGGATGTAAAGATGCAGAAATGGGCTCAGGACACCCAGCATTTCAAGGACCGACCAGATGACTGCTCAAGGCAGGGACAGGGGTGATGTGACTGATGTGACACCCATGGTTGCACCATCCTAATAATATTTTTTAAAGTGTAACTTTGTCTAGGGCTTACTGTACACCAGGGGCATGCTCTATCAACTCTGTCACCCCATGAAATCCTGGATATGACCTACAAAGTTGATATTGTTATCCCCTTCATGGGCATGGGACCCAGGGGGCACACAGGGACCCCACTTGGGTTAATGTTCTGTTGTCACCATCCTGAAATTCTTAGGACTTTTTTTAAAGAAGAGACCCAGCCCTGAGCCCTACAAATTGTGCAGCTGGTCCTGGTTGTGCCCACTCCTCAGAAGAGGACTCAGAGGCAAGGGATGATCATGAAGCTACAGCCCATAACACAGAACTAGTGGCTGCCCTTGAGCTCTGACCCCAAATCCCACATGCTCCAGGGTAGAAAGAGGCTGACCACCATCACACAGCTCATGCCCAGGCCCCTAGCTGGCACCTGTCTGGAGGAGGGCACTTCACCTCTCCTAAGTGCCTCCCATAACCCCTGTGTGAAATGGGTGCTCCCACCTGCCTTTTGGGTTTGGGTGAGACTGGCGTGAGCTGGGGGGCACCCAGGTGCCACACCATGAGGCTCACCCTCAGTGGACGGAAAACCTCTTGTTAAAATACACTCCCTACACTATAAAGTCACACAAAGTCACAGACTCTCAGTGGTTCCCACCCCAAGAGGAGCCCCTTACTTAAGGGGGCAGGACGAAGCCCTCTGCAGAGGGAGGGCACAGCTTCCTACTGTGTTATCTCTCACCAGTTCTGTGTTATGGGCATGTGGCTTCATGATCATCCCTTGCCTCTGAGTCCTCTTCTGAGGAGTGGGCACAACCAGGACCCAGGTGGGGAGGGCACAGCTCATCAGTCTGTCTGTAGACTGGACCTTCTCCAGAAAACTCATCTAGCTATAATGAGAGCTCCTCTGTCTGTGGGAAGGAAGCCCTGTAGGATTCAGCCACCCGGGCGCACTCAGAAGAGATTCTGGGCCCTCAGCAAACAGGCAGAGGGCAGGCACCTGGGTGGGGCCCCAGAAAGCAGCTCCCAGTCTTCAGTCTTGGAGAGAGCCTGGGAAGGCTGTGTCATGAGAAAGTGCACAGCGAGCCCCATTCCTGTGTTCTTGGAGCACGCTAAGATTTAGAGAGCACCTATGAACCTCATCCTGCCCATCCCCAAGAGCCTAGGAGATTGGCAGAACACCTCATTTTGAGCATAGGAGACTGAGGCTTGGCAGGCCCCATGGGGCCTAGGACCAGAATCTGATCCCAGGTCTGGTGTCTCTAAAGGAGACCAGCAGCTCTAAGTCCTGACTGCACCCTTGTATCCGGCCCTCAGATCACCTGGGAGCCTAAGAATGGGCTGCTCTCTGAGTCCTGGGCCCACATCAAGGGAATCAGAACTCCTGGAAGTCGATCTGTGTTGCCCAAGGTCCCCAGGGGACTTTCACTTGCCCAGAGCAGGGCAGGAGGTGAAGCTGAGTTCCTCTGCTCTCAGTGGGGGTGGCATGTCTTCCTCAGTCCCCAGGGATGCCCCCCACTCCCGCAGGGGCAGGCTCAGAGTACGGGGAGAGTCCTCTGTCCTCCAGCCAGACCTCCCTGGCAGGCTGGGCTCTAGGGTGGTCCAGAACAGAAGCTCTGCTGTCTGTCTTCCCGAGCATTTCTGTGTGTCAGGAGGAAATCCATGACCTCCCTGGGCAGCCCAGCCTGCCAGTGGCCTCCCCATCCCAGATCTGCTCCTCTCAGTCCTCATCTCAGCCCGCCCAGTTCCCACACTCCAAGCAGGCATCACAACGATTATTTGCTTTCTTCTTTCGGCAGGGATTTTAAAGGCACACACATCAACAAGCGTCTCTCTCCCTTTCCGTCCATTTTCACCCTAGGGTGGTGTGTGCACCAGGCTTCTGGGCATCTTGATTTTTCTTTTAGCCTCCTCTTGGACATTGCTCTGCATCAGTTCATTAGTTTTTACACCTGCATGGCCTCAGCACAGATTTTGAAAACTAGCCCTGAAAGCCAAGTTCAAGACGCACATCTCCCGCTCGGATGGGCCTGTGTCTACCCTTGCTCATTCCCCACAGACACAGGCCCACCAGAAGGCTGGTGTCTAATTATAACCTACCCACCCTGGCACGATGGGGTCAGAGCCTTGGCTTATATCCCACACTAGGTCCTGGAGGCCAACTCAGATGGCAGCTGGAGCCTTGCAGAGGCGGCGCTGCTGTGTGGGCACTTTAGGTAAACCTGAGAGCCACCGTCCTGGAAGGCTGAGTCACCAGCTTCATTCAGCTTCACCGTCCAGCTTGAGTGGAGCCGGCTCCTTCTTCCCCTGTGCAGCTGCAGGCTTATTTGCTTCCTCTCTGAGGGGGTGAGGTCAGGTGGTGGTAGAGGAAGCTGAGGGTGGAGGAAGCCGGCCCTGTGCTCAGGGAGGGGTGCCGAGGGCAGCAGCACCTCTACGGTGCAGGCACACCTGAGTCTGCGTGGGGCTCCACTGGCCTGGCAGCTGGCTCTGGGGACCCTCAGGCAGCTGTCACTGAGAAGGGAGACCTGTGCCCTCAGATTCAAGTGACTGGTCTTGTCTCCCTGCGGGAGTTCTGTCTCAGTGCGTCGTTTAGCCTCTTAGGGATTTGGGGTCCTCCCATGTCAAATGGGGACAGAAACTAATCTCCACAGACTTGCTGTGAGCATTAAGTGAGATAACACAGGAGGGATTGTAGTGCTGCCCAATTTGTTCAGCTTCTCTGCATCAACTTAAAGTGGTCGTCTCACCTCTAGTCCTGGACCAGCAAGTAGAAGCCCTGTCACTGGACCTCTCTGAGCCTCTTTCCCCTCCTGGAGTGTGGACATGCCTCCACCTAGCAGCTGGGGAGGGGTCAGACTGACAATGTTCTCATTCTTCCTGCAGGGCCCGCACCACCTGCCTTTCCTGGGGAGGGCGAGCTTCTGGCCCATCTGCTCTGCGCACACCTTCGGGACAGATAGATCTCCTTGGCAAAGGCTGCCCCTAAAGAATCCTGCCAGTGCTTGTCTGTTCCTGCCTTCTACGAAGCATGGCACCCACAGGCTTCTGGGACGAATCATAGACCTCGAACCCCCGCAGCTGCTCTGAAAGGCCCTCCCTGGGGCTCACCCCACGGTCCCTCGGCTCCAGGTGCCGCCCAGCCTCTGCAATGCCTTCTGGAGGCACAGCCCCAGCTGGATGAGGCCCTTCCAGAGCAGGACCCAGCCTCATCGCCCAGCAAGCCTCCCACACAGCCCCTCACCAGCTGCCAGGTCTGGCTGCCAGGGCAGACTGTAGAATGTCTGTGCCCGAGATCCAAGTGGAGGAAGTGGGTGAAGAAGAGGGGCTGGCAGGGGCCGCCGCGCCTCCTGATGACCACCTCCGGAGCCTGAAGGCCCTCACCGAGAAGCTGAGGCTGGAGACCCGCAGGCCCTCCTACCTGGAATGGCAGGCCAGGCTGGAGGAGCAGACGTGGCCCTTCCAGAAGATGGCCACCGAGGAGAGCTTGGAGCAAGGAGAGCGTGGGGGTGGGGAGCCCCTGCTGCCCCCGAGGGAGCCCAGAGAGCACCCCCCGCCTGCCGGGAGCACCAGCCAGGGCGACAGATCCCCTGGCAAGCTGGAAGGCTTCCAGAGTATCGATGAGGCTATAACCTGGCTCAGGAAGGAACTGGTGAGTGGCTGCCCCCACAGAAGTCCCCAGAAAAGAGAGGATGTCATTCTTTGTCTCTACGTGTCCCTCTGTTTCTCTCTGTTTCTATCTCCTCTCCCCCATCATGTGTTGGACCTCCCATCTTAATAGACCCGCCACTTGCACAACTGTAATCTTCCTATTTGACAAAGGCAGATCTTATTTCTCTGGTTGCATGGGGCTGTGTCAATCAGCCATTAATTCTGGACATTGTGGAGGAATCAAGCTGTGTCCATGAGAATCTGAGCCCATGTTAGGGTGTCTGTACCCTTCCCCCGACTGGCAGAGCCTCGCTGTCATGCCTGGACTGCTAAGTGGGTGCCTGGAGCTTACCTGCCCTCTGAAGCCCCCTCCCCTGCCATCTGTCCCTGCTGCCCACACCTCCTATGACCACTCACTTACCAAGACAGTGGTTGCTCTCCCTCCCTGAGTGCTACTGTTGGGTTGCATGGTAGGCTACCTGGGGTGGGCTGACTGCAGGAGGGGCCCTGGGTCTGGGGGTTGTCCTGTGCAAGGAACTGCTATGAGTACTGAGGCCCAGCGTGGAAAGTGCTGTATTAATGATGTGTGGTGTGCAGGAGCTGCCAGGGGATGTGCGCCTGATCATGCGTGGGGTAGAGGCTTTAGTGAGGAGGCTGAATAGGAGCTTGCCCAGAGGTTGAGGCAGGGACGGTTTCCGGATGGATTGAGTGCAAGAAAAGGGCCCTTTGCTTAGCCCTTTTCCTGCCCCTGGGCAAAACAGATTTCCAGTGGGAATCTCACCGTGTGCAGTGAATCTCAGCCTGAGAAACCGGGTGAGGGTGCAGAGCTGGGTGCTACCTCCCCCCAGGGAAGAATCACCGGTCCCAGCACAGTGGCTTCTCAACAAGGCAGGCATGAGTCTAAGCCTCCCCAAGCCCTCAACCCCTGTCCTCCTGTCACTGAGGCCCAGGTAGCACCTGCCAGGTCTGGCCATCTGGACCCAGGGAGCCAGGAGTCTAGGTCCAGCCACTATCCAGAGCCAGTAGTAATTCCCAGGGCAACAAGGCCTGCAGAGGCCCACTCGGTTTGCTTTGCAGAATCCTAAAACCAGAATCCTGTTGGGCCTGAAATGCATTATGGACTAAAATACATGAACTGGGGTTTGGGATGGGAAGGGGCTCTGGGACTCAGGTATTGGATGGATCAGGGACTGTTTTGGTCTCAGTCCTTGATGCTGAGAATGCTGCTCAGGACCCAGGGTTCTGTTACATGTGATTAACCGGTAACTGGAGTGTGCGTGGCTCTTGGCTTTCGTGGAAGATAAGGCACCTGTGGATCCTTGCTCTGTGGCCCCAGGGTGCCTGTGGGGATATAAGAGGTGAGAGGTGGACATGCTGTGCCCCAGGACAGACCCTGAAAGTGCTCTTTGAATTCCTGAGGCTAAGCTGCTTTGATCTGTTTTCATAAAGAAGAACAAAAAATATTCTCATTAATCAAGGATGCAATTGTCGGTTTCAGGTTCTTTTGAGGTTCATTGCTTCTGAAAGCAGAGGCGGTTACTCTCTAAATACGCTCACATTCCTCACGGGCCCCCTCTGGAGCAGGGGGTAGAGAAGGACTGCTCTGTGTGTAAACCAGTGGGGACTTTCCTAGAGCTTGTGCCATCATCTTCAGACAGAGATGTCTTGCAACCCTGACTGTGTTTATAACCACCTGGGGACCTTTGGAGGCTCCCAAAGCCTCAGTCAGACCCCAGACCAACCAAATGAAGTTCCAGGGCATGGTGCCCAGCATCCATAGCTTTCAAAGCTCTCACCTGCTCCCATTGTGCAGCCGGGGCTGAGACCCACTGGGCATGCTCTTTTCTCTTGCTAGAACTCTGTAAGCAAAGTGGCAGGAGGTGCCCCACCCAGAGATGCTGGCCAAGAGCACCTGAGGGGAACGAGGATATAGGGACCCTTGGGTGGACAGCAGAGCACTCCTTGCCAGGATTAATTTGGTGCCCAGGGGCTGAGTAACTGAGGCTTTTAACAGGTAGCCATGTAAGATGATAGGACTGGTAAGTGTCAGAGCCAGAGTCAGACTCAGCAATCACCACTGGGAGGAGAACGCTATGGGAGAGGCAGGGGATGCAGCAGGTGATACAGCTCAATAGCAGAGGACTCGCTGGGTATGTCCAGAGAGCAGCGACCTTCAAATTCTCCCTGGGTCTCTTTGTAGAATGAAGATTCTGTTTCCCCCTGATTCAGAATTGACATCTCTAAGGTAACCTATATGGCTGCTCCATGGGCCACATTTTGAGTATCAAGGAATGAAGGGAGGCTTAGCCTGGTGCCCGGGAACCTCTGAGGCTCCACATGGGGCAAACCTAGAGGTCCCCAAGCTTGAGCTTCAAGTCCTGTCCCTGCTATATCTGCCCCATGTGGCTTAGCACTCAACCAGTGAAGAGGCCTCAGTGAGCGAACTCACAGCATCACAAAGCAAGTGGTCCAGGAGCGCTGGCCAGCAGCAGCCCCGATGCAGACCAGAGGCAGGCGATTCTGACCCAAAATTCTGCCTGCCTCAGAATTCGGCAACAAAGGCAACTTGTAAAACCCTTTGACTGAGGTGGACAGTTCTCATTCGAACACGTCCTCCTGTCTTTAAGCCTCAACCAAAACAAAGCTCCATGCCTTGGTTTTCTGATTCATCCTCTGATCATCACTGAAGGTGCCTTTAAAAATCGACCTATTTTTAACACATCCAAAGAGGCTTGCAGAACCTCTACTGTACTGTACTGAATGTAAGCCCGGAATCAAGTTTTTCCTACCCTATTCAGGCCTCCCATTCGCCTGAATGTGAATTTGACTTTATTCCAGGGATTGAAGCGCTGTGAGTCAGTCGTGTGGGGTTTTTCCTGTATGATGCCAAACACCCCCAACTTAATGAAAGTTTGGGGTCCGGTGAGGGCAGGCCCCTAAACTGTCCCCTGACCATCTGGCAGTCCAGGGAGGCTATTGTCAACTAGCACCATAGGGAGCAGGCAGCGCTGGGTCTGGGAGCAACATCTGCCTGCCCCTGCTCCTGCAAGGCCAGCTGAGAGGGACTGCCTGAGCCGGATGGGCTTCCAAGGCTAGGAAGGGCCCGTGGCTCCCCCAGGCTTCCCTCCTGATCTCCCTTCAGGCTTTCACTGCTAGGACACCCTGGGGACCTGCAGGCAGAGTCCACTTCCCTTCCACTTCTGCACGGGGGCTTCGAGGAAGGTGGACCCCTCAGAGTCTGTTAGGGTGATTTCTCCAGCTAAGGCCTGACTTTGGCTCAGAGTGTATTTAGAGACCATGTGACCACCTGGTTGTGGCAGGTGGGGCAGCAAGGACTCCTCCAGGCTGAGGTCCAACCTCACCATTCCCAGGACAGCCACTCGGGGTCCAGTAAGTGGCCACTGTGCACCACTACTGGTTCCTGGCTGCTCTGGGTGCCAGAGGGTCCCAGCCTCCAGCTTCCTATCTTCTGACTGAGTGGCCTGGGGTGGGGCGGGGCAGTGCCTGACCCTGGAACCTCTACCCCCAAGCTGAGCGTGGAATTCAGGACATCTCACCAAGGCCCCTAACTGGGCTGGGGTCAGCAGCCTGCTCTAGGGCCTGGCCTTGAGTGGTCAACATCCAGCCTGAGGAAGAGGGACCCTCCTCTCCGTCTTGTCTCTGTAGTTGTGCTCAGAAGTTCCCCTCGCCAACCTGGAGATAAAGCACAGGGCAATAAAGCATTCCCCCGGCTCTGCGGGTGCCAAAATGTGAACGAGACATCCCAGCTTCCTCCTGGGCCGTCTTCCAGGCGAGAATCCTTGGGTGTGGACAGACATTTCTCTCAGTTTCACGCAGGTGTTTGATCCCCGCAGACGGAGCTCCTGAGAAGGTGTTTATAGTTGTTAGAAAAAAGGAAAAGAAGTCTGGCGGTGTTAGTCACGGCAGGTCTGCGCGGCAGGAGGCCTGAGACCTGGCCCAGCCGGCGCCCTGCGGTCACAGCTGGGGTGCCCAGGAGTCCTCTCCCAGCACATCCTGTCTTGCCCGTGCTGCCTGCTTGGCAAGCACAGCCCTGCTGTGTCCAGGGCCAGCCCCCTGAAGCCAGAATTGTCTGCTGCCCGGCCCAGCCAAATGACAGGTCTCACTCGCCATGATGGTACGGAGGCGAGGAATGTGGTGCCAGCCATGTCACTCTGTGGTTCCAGTGAACCTTCCAGTGTCCCCTAGGAAGCCTTAGGTGTGTGTGCTGTCCCCACTTTACAGAGGAGAAGAGGGGGGGCGCAGAAAGATTGTAGGTCTGAGGGACAGAGAGTTTCAGTGGTTTGGGGGCTAAGCAGATGGAGCCCCAGGCCACCTGGCTCTGCACCCAGACCAGGACTCTCCGGGTGCTTCAGCCATTCAAGTCAACGGGCCTGAGCTGGCAAAAGCCTGCATGTCCCTCCTGATTTCAGAACAGGATACTTGTAAAAGGTCAATGACTCATGACAACCCTTAGGGGGACCCAGCCTGTTTCTCCTTGAGGACAAGAGCAACACAGAGCCAGCCCACAGGGGACCAGGATCCACAGGGGGAGTCCAGGCACCCTCTGCCAAGACTGTGTCTTCTCAGTGACACCTAGGGCTCTTGGACAGCCACCACAGAAGGGAGACCCCTGCTCATCTGGGCAGATGTGGCTTCCTGGGAGTTATTACAGAATTCACAAACAAGGGCACCGGCAAAGGAAGCATGTGGCGTCCTCGGGGACTCTCCTTCTGGGTGGTGGTGTCATTCTTTCTGCTTTTTGTAGCTCCTGAAAATTCTAAATAGGAATATGGTATGTGCAATCCAGGGGTGAAAGACTTTAAAAATAAAAGACTGAAGAAAGAAAAGCACCGGCTCCTTTGTGTCCTACCAGTGCAGTTGGTCCACAGCCCTCACCTGTAGGCCCCAGGGAAAGCAGCACAGGAAACCCAGGCCCTCAATCCCCAGAAGTGCCCTCCGGGCCTGAGAGCTGACAAACTGGGCACTGCTGGCCACTGGGGT